TTGGGGCGCAGCGCCCCCCGCTCAGGCCCAGTCCCCCTGTCCTCCCCCTGCAGAGCTGGCCAGGATGTACAAAAACGAAGGGAACGAGTACTTCAGGGAGAAGGACTACAAGAGAGCCATCGTCGCCTACACTGAGGGGCTGAAAAAGAAATGCGAGGACCCCGAGCTGAACGCCATGCTGCACACAAACCGAGGGGCTGCCCAGTTCTACCTGGGTAAGGAGAGGTGCACCATCCTGCCCCGGACCAGGCTGGGAAGAGGGTTTTGTGGTCTAAAAGTGCTTTTCCTCCCTATTTTGGGTTCTTCTTTGCCTATTTTGTGATACAGCATACTAAGTAGTTTATTCCCGAGAGAAAGACACCTTGATCCCTGAAGACCTGTCTTGCTTCAGCATGTGGCTGCGTGTAGGGTTTGGGCTTTGTTCGTTGCAGCTATTACTTGCTGCTCGAGCCCTGGCTGCAGGAGAGGGCAAAGCCGGTGGCTTTTGATGCTGATCAGATTCACAGAGTGATTGGAACTACAGGGGGATGACCTGGCTTCAGAAACCTATTGAAGCAACACATTCTGTCGCTCTTCCCTGCCTGTGTCCTCCTCAAGCTACCACCTATCCTACCAACAGCATCCATGCAGCAGAGAAGGTGTTCTTGGCCTTTTAGTGCTGTTGTGTCTTGCAGTTGGGAGTTGGTTTGCTCACACTCATGTTACTTATCTCTCACCTGTATGACTGATTCCTGTCCTTTCGCTTCTTGCTCTTAATTTGCTCTTTCTTCCTCTGCATACCTCACAGTGATTGTAGAAACAGCGAATTAGGGTCTCCACATAAGCTTGGGATCTGCTTGGATTTTAAACATAAATTAAAGGTTCTGAGCAGTTGTGCTTGCTTTATAGGTAATTACCGTTCTGCTCTCAATGATGCCATCCAAGCAAAAAAGCTAAAGCCTACCCATCTCAAAGCAATCATAAGAGGTAAGAGTTAAAGCACATGTTCCTGCATGGAGCGCAAGGAACATCGTTTCAAAACAGCTTTGCACATGTTAGTTTTACTTATTATGCTGTTATTGTTACAAGCCCTGAAATAGACTGTTGTTAGATGTTGCTGTGTTTCGCTGCATGTTTCTGTTGTTAAATAACAGCGTTTATAACCCTTAAATTGCTGTGAGCATGTATCATACTTTGCTTCTGGACAGCATTCATTTAAAAAAAGTAAAGTGGTTACTGTACGAGATTTTATTCTCTTGTTTTGCTTTGGATTTTCAATCAAAACACTTTCTTTCTGCTCTTTGCTCTTCGGCTTCTATATCTGTCAAGGCATTGGACCTGTTTCTGTAGAACACAGCATAATTTTTGCTGTCTTCCACAATACTAGTTTTGGGGGGGGGTGTTTTTTTTCCCGCCTCCAGCATTTCTCACTCCTTGGAAATAACCACTTTATTTTTCCTTATGGGACAAATACTGTTATGATAATTATAATGATAAAGTTCTGCTTGTAACAGACACTTCTAGCATTGTTCTGATGATTTCTGTGACTAGATGAGCAAATGATACCTGAACTGCTGAAATAGTTTAGATTTTCTTCTCAGCTGAATAGACTTGCTGGAAGTCTGTGATTGAACATGATGACGCAAGACAATAGCGTGCGCTGCTGTATATGCCTCTTGAAAGCACTAGGGCTAATGGTGTCTTTATAACCACCACTTTGTGTAGTAGCTGTATACTGACTCCAATACTAGAAACTTAAAATCTTAATCCTTCCAGGAGCTCTCTGTCACATGGAGCTAAAGAATTTCTCTGAAGCGATAGCATGGTGTGAGGAGGGCTTGCGAATAGAGTCAAAGGAGAAAAAGCTTGTGGAAATGAGAGCTAAAGCTGACAAATTAAAGGTAAATATTAAGGCAGTCTAGCGTCTACAATGCTTGTTGCCTACTTTGTGTGAAGAAGCACTTTGGGATCCTTGGTTGAAGAGTGCTCCACACGAGTTCGTGTGTAGTGTAATGTCCCCAAACAGAATTGAGTGGTGGTTCCGTGTAGTGCGTGTTGTTGAGGTGTGTAGGGCAAAGAGCCTGAGGGGACCCTTCTGGAGATCTGCATTGATTTCTCCACTCGTCGGCAGGGTAGAGCAGTGATGGGCATTGACTTGCTGTGTGTGACTGTGGTGCAACCTTTTCTTACATGTAGCGAGCTGAGGAGCGAGATGCAAGGAAAGCAAAGGTGATGGAGAAGAAGGAACAGTGTCAAAAGGAAATTTTACTTGCGGCAATAAAGGTGGGTCGGTGAGAGGGTTTGGTTTTGTGTGGTTTGTTTTGATTTTGTTCTTTTTAAGAGCTCTGTTGTTTGTCTCTAAGAGGTCGTTCCCATACACAGGCTTTTGAGGGCTAAAGCCAAATAACTGAGTTAAAACCGTGATTCTCCTTATCTGCGTAACTCTAGCCCCAGCTCCCAGGTTGCCATATGTCGGTTAACAACTAGTGCAGAATACGAACCGACTGTTAGGAGGTGGACTGAGCATCTAAGAGAGTGCTCTGGTTGCTGGGCTGTAACATCACACTGGCCCAATGAATGTTGCTTTCTTTGCTGCCGGTGGGCGTTACTTGAGTGGAAGGACAGAAGATAACCATCCGGTGGGGTGGAGGAGAGAATCAATCCTGGATCCTCTCCCTCCTCAGCAAACGTTTGGGCTATGTTAAAATATTTTTGGCTATTATGTGAATCCGATCTCCTCTTCTGCAGTTGTCTTTCCAAAGAAAAGAACGAGCTTTATTCAGTTTTCTGAAAGAGGGGATCTTCCCAGGAGCTGGTGCATGTAGTTCATGTAACCCTGAAGTTATGCCTGCTAGGTCCCGAAGAACAGGATTTCAGATGCCTTCCTTTCCCCACGTTTTCTCAAGCTCATCTGTCAGCATGCAGGCTGGATTCCCACCTCTCCTCATCCATTTTATGAAGAGTCTGGGTGTCTGGCTGAGGTTCTGGATTCTACTGGGAAGACCAGTCACCTGAGTCTGATACTGTAGGAAGGCATTTGATGACATGCTAAAGAGCTGACTCATTAATAAGAATGACACGATTTGTCCTTTTACTGACTGCTAATTTTTTTCTCTTATTCTCCCCACCCTACCTATTTGGTTGGTTTAATGGTGGTTTTTTTTCCTTCCTCCCCTCCAGGAAAGAAATATCAAGCTGGCTCTTGAGCCTTCAAATGGCGAAGAGGAAATATCAGATGGCCTGGCTGAGATATCCTTAGATGGGTTCCACGCTGACAATGCCATGGGGGCAAAGGTGCACTTAGATGCTGATGGCAACCTGAACTGGCCTGTCCTCTTTCTGTACCCCGAGCACGGGCAAACAGACTTCATTGCGGCTTTTCACGAGAACTCCAGGTAAATGCGCTGTCAGCATCGTTCTTGCATAAAGGAGATGTTTGAGTAGATGAGAACAGACAGCAAGTGAAACCCTGCCATGCTAATGAAGTAGTTCCAGATTTCTAATCTCATAGCTGACCCTGCTTTTGAGCAGGAAGAGGTTGCGCTAGATGACCTGAGGTCCTTTCCAACCTGAATTATTCTATGATTTATGAATGCTGCTTTAAAATATGAGGGCCAAAACCTCAACATTACGTAAATTTATACTGTAGAGAAACAAGTCATATTCAGCCAGTGTGATTAAAAGGGCTTGCACTGCAAGCTTAGACCAGTGGCCAGTAACACCAGTGACCCATCTGTACGCATGGATTTTAGAGGTTCATTAAGGTGTGGTTTCAAAGCCTTCCAAATATGGAGTCTCAGAAAGAGGATTAAACTTAAAAATTATAATAAGTTTCCAAGAGGGACCTCTAGTAACCACCAGTGAACCCATTGTTTTCCTTAGGGCTTCCGGCTTGCCTGACTGAAGTCCTGCAGACCTTTCAGGCTATAAGCAAGTGACTGGCAAAGCGGGAATTCCACTCTTCTGGGTGTTAACTTCAGTTTCTGGTCTTGCCACATTAAACAAACTTGGGATTTGTAACTTTTTTTTTTGCAGGGAGATAGGTATTCCTCAGATCTACTAGTAAGTTTAGGGCTTAAAACCACCGTGTGAGCAGATTTATAAAGTTGTGGTTCTTGCACAGTAGTGTTCACTGCACCTTTTTGTGACCAAAGGAAGTGAAAATGGGTTCTTAGAACAAACTGCTCACCAGCACTCCTGAAGTACCAAAATGAACAAGCCTCCGACACACAAGCGTATTCTGAGTGCTCTGATGAAGTGTGGTGCTGGTGGGACCATGTAGGAGGAAAATCAATTTTAGACAAAATGCAGGGTGTTTTATT